TGGGACAGACAGACAACTGAACTCACAGTGGCATTTCTTATATTTGTAGTGAATTTACTGCAAGTAAGCATCTCTTGTGGATTAGCTGCTGCCTTGCTTGCATTTCTGATCCATATGTAGGTATGACAAAACTTAAGAAGGGTAAGATTATAGGGCATTGCAGAATAACTAACAAAACTGAAAGTCATGCATTTGCTTAAAGTAAAGGTTTCACTATGCATATGCATGCTGAAGCTCTACATGCAGTCTGTATACTGCATACAACTGCAATAAAACAAAATAAAACAGCTTTACGGAAGTACAGCAGGGAGAATCAGCTCTCATAATTGTAACTGAAATTGCTTCTTTAATTAGAACTATGTACTGTGTAATGTGGAAAACCAAACCCCTATGAACTATAAAAGAGAAGCACAGAAGAGAAAACTGAGGTCATTTGCTATGAATAAGAATCAAATTCCTGGCTGTCATAAGTACTCATAACTGACTCTCTTGAAACTACACATACACAATACCTGTCTCTAACTTAGATTCTTTTGTGAACCAGTATAGAGAAAGGTGAATATTTCCATTTATAATGGATGCTCCAAAATTAATTCCTCCTCCTTCATAATGCTGTCCCATGATATCAGAGGCAGATGTTGGCTGTATGGCAATAGAGGCTGAACCTTCCCACAAATGTCCCATTACATGTTGTTGCTGTGCAACAGATGGCAGCAGAGGGGCACTCTGACAGAAAGGCATTTGACACGGAAGTGCATATGAAGCAGAGGCGCGTTATTGCATTCTTCCATGCAGAAAACATGGCATCCACTGACATTAATTGACAATTGCTGAACATTTATGGAGCCCAAAGAGTAAACATGAGCACAGTGAGGCAGAGGGTGGTGCATTTCTGCTGTGGTGACAGAGGGTCACTTCCACTGCTGCAGACTGTTACAAATACAGCATGAAGGCTCTTGTTCATCACTGGCAAAAATGTGTAGTTCATGGTGGTGACCATGTCGAAAAATAGTGGTTTGAAGCTGAGAAGTTGCTCTACCAAATAACAATCCTTGTGCTCTTTACATCTGTTGTAGCTTCCACGGAAATAAATAGGACACAGTACTTTTGAAGTCAACTACATATTTCATACAATACTTAAACACACTGGACCTCATAGTATATACACGCACTATACTTCAAAGTCATTTCTAGTTACTTACTATTCTAACTGTTTAGGAGAGTCCTACAGACAAGGTGCCAGTTTAAATAGAAGAACTACTAAAGGTACACATTCTCACAAAACTCATAGAAAAAGAGAAAACTCAGCTGTTGATTAAAAACTAAGCAATAATCATGAACAAGTCAATACTTCACATATGAATACACTGGTACAGCTACATACTACAGCAAAAAGGGGGGAAAAAAGGAATTTCCTTGATTCTTATTTTCGGAAAAAAAAGAGGAATTTACTTGATTTTTATTTTATTGTCTTAAATAAGCAAGAAACATTTGGAAATGAAGCACTGTAGAAATCACTGTCATTAGTATGACAATATCAACCACAAAACCTCTTCTTAGGCTGCAAAACCATTTTGAGGCTTTCTATTATTTTGAAATAGATCATTGTGTTAAGTTGCCTTGCTAACACCTCAAGGGAAAACCTAGTAGCGATACTTTCTGAGATCAGCTCCTTTCTTTCTGGCAAAGAAGTCCATTTTATATTGATTCTTACTCTCCTCTGTTTTTAAAGCATTTCCTTTGGCAATTTATCTGAAATGAGCTAGAATTCTATTCTCTTCCATAGAAAGAAAGAGCAAGAGATGTCACCTGAAAAAATGAAGAGGAAAATGTATTATCATCATCATACAATATTATTTCTTCACAGGGAAACGCTGTTTCTTTACAAATGATATTCTTTCAATACTATATCAACTCAATAAGTTTGCACGCTAACTTCTGAAGACTAGAGTGCCAAATGTTACCCAGACTATTTAAGAAAAGCAAGCCTGAGTCAGTTAGTAGCTCATAAAAAGCTTTTTTCACCCCTCCAGTGAGAACATAACTACTCACCATTTGATAGAAAGTATTCAAGTGAATTAGAACAGATGTTATTATGTAATCTGAACGACTAACTTGATTTTAAAAAATCGAACTACCCCTATTTGGGTCTTTCAACTGCTTACTTCACACAAAAGTCCCATGATAACAGTTGTGACAGCAATACCAAAAAGAAGATTCAAGGCATCTTTCAAGCACTTTTCTCTTTTTAGGATTACATGTGTATATATAACATTCATCTTTTCAACTATCCTTCAGTAGTAAGGCAGTAATGCAAGTTCTGACACTGTCTTTAGTCTAGTGTCAGGCTTTAGAACCAGTTTCCTTAACAGCCTATCAACTACTAAGTGTCTCAAGTTTTTGGTTTTTCTGTAGCAGCCTGTTGCTTTCCTGCTGCCAAAAATTGAAACATCAGATGTGGAAGACAGTAAAGATAATTCTTGTAATTCAAATCTCCATTTATGAGGTGGTGTATGATGATGGCACAAGTGTATGTAGTGTCAACTACATAAAGATTTGCAAACCATACTTTACAAAGCCAAAGCACAAGTGATATTGCAACAGATCTCTTGAGATTAGCTAGTCTGACCCATAGTCTGAGCATGCTCAGAGTGAGATCAGTTGCAGCAGTTTGCTGAGAGCTGGCTTCAGCCAAGTACTCCTAAATATAGGAACTCCACAAGCTCCTTAGGTAATCAGTTCTAGTGTTCGACAAACTTCACCATGAAAAGCTTAAAGTAAAAAAGGTAAAGGTTGATTTCCCTGTTTTGTGTTTTTTTTTGGTTGTCCTCTCAGTTGTCACTACTCCCATGCATCAGGTATTTATACACATGGAAAAGAGCCTCCTGAGCTTTTTCTCTCCAGGCTGAGCAGGTCAAGCTGTCAGGCTCTCCTGTTGTGTGGGATAGTCCACTTGTACCCTTGATGCAAACATATGATGAGTACATTCATAGCTACCTGACATTGCCCAAAACTGAGTTTAATGCTCAAGTTGTCTCAGCAGCACTAAGTGGCAGGAAGAGGTCACCTCTGTGGAAATGCTGGCAAGTCTCTACTAATGAAGCCCAGGATGCTGTTCTATGCTGCCAGATCATGGTCAGCTTGTCCACCTCCTCTCAGGTCCTTCTCTACAGACCTACTTTTAAGATTGGTCTTCTACTTATGCAGGATATTTTCCTTCTGTTGTCCTTAAACATTATTTTCCTTTCTTTTCCCCCTGCTCCCACTAATAATGGGACTAAGACATTGGACCATACATCAAGAAACTGTCTACAGGACCTGAAGCAGCCAGTAGTGAGAAACTGAGTAGCTAGCCCTGTGGCACATTGGTATCCAATTAAAAGCACAAAAGTGAACATGAACAATTTTCTACTAAAAAAAATTCACAAGTAGAAGTAATACAAATTTGAAATTCACCAATAAGAGTGAACATGCACTAGATCACTTCTCTGACACATGAAGACACCAAACAGAGGGAGGTAATTTTGTTTTTTTTTGAAGTCTGTAATTGGGAACAGGAATGCATAGGCTTTTATGTCAATGCTCATACTCCCCCAGGAGACCACATCCTTAGAGAATAGTCACAGTTTACATAAATGAAGTTGTTTTTAAAGTTGATTAGTCAAGTTTCCAGAACTGAAAAGAACTTACTGTCTAATGTCTGGCTGAAAGAGAAGTAAGACCATGTGGGACATAAAATGCGCTTTTCTTTTTCTGTAAAATATAGACATTGTCTTATTAATGAATGCTGAATCAACTCTTATGTATCATGAGACAACTGCATGTATAATAGAACAGCAGCCCATTGTTAATCTCAAAGTGAGAATTTAAACTCACGACAAACCACCATATCAAATGTTTTCTTTCAAGCTGCAGTAGCTCAGAGTTGCCTTATACCAATCATTTCTTGCCACAGCATAACTCCCAATACAATATTGGCTGTGCATAAAAGCTATTTTAATGCCTTCAGTAAATCTGAAAAACTTTAGTGTAAAATATAAATCAGAACAAACTAGCAATAATTAACTGCACATAAGTGGTCCTGAAGACACCAGAACCTTTACTCACCAGTGCAATCTGGCACAGCTGCATCTACTGAAGACAAAACACTACTACTGTTTTGTTCTGCCTCAACAAAACACAGAGACATGAGCAGCAAAGTGGCTACACCACCTACTTTGTCCATTCAGTTACAGGGTGCTATAATATTTACCAGCACAGTCAGATATTTCTTGCGATCACATTTGGTTATTTGCCTGCAATTTGCACTACTAGCAGCCAATCTGTATGACTATTTACACTTCTACATTCTTTACAGGTTTCTGAAGAAGGCTCTGAAAACAGACTTAATTCCTTAAAAATGAATGTACTCAAGGGAAATATTTCCATCAAAATCAGAGTGGTTGAAAGCCAGTAAGAAACTGAAATCAAACTGTGTAAGTTGTACGTAAATCAGGTGGAATTGCATCAGATCTATTTAAGCACATTTTTAACTCAATCTTGGACCAGGATGGAAATCAACAACCAATATTACTGGGTGACTACCAGTCTGAAATCCGGAACATTTTAAATCATGCTTGATCAGAAAGGTACCAAGTTGTTTTAGCATGAGCTTAAATATCTTTAACAACAACCAGAGAACATAAGAGAAATTCACAACTGATTTCAAAGTGAACCTTGAATTCCACAAAGAAGGATGTTAACAATGAAGTTATAATGAAAACTAAGTTGAACAGCTGGGAGCAGTAAGAATTAAGGAGACATGGAGGTGGGAAGGCGGTCAGAGCAGTAGTTTCTCATAAACATAAGATGTGCCAATAAAATTAGCTGTAGGTTACTACTCTAATTTTCCATTTTTCCTATTCTGGCTTTTCAAAAAAAAAAAAAAAAAAAAAAAGAAAGACATGAAGAACAACAAGTACTTGGAATATTGTTTACTGTTAAATCAACACATCTGAAAGTTTTCACAATGTGATGCTACATTTAATTATACAATAGTCTGAGTCACAAAACAAGCAGAACAATTAAACTACATAAGGCCTTGAAATTAGAAGCACAGTGCGTATTTTCAGATTACCCATTTTACAAATAGGCTACATAGTTATTTTTTATTCAAGCAAAATGCATTCAAGGAAAGGCAACTTACAAAGTTTATTTTAGTATGACTTACCAAGAAAATGTCAACATTCTTGCCCCTCCTCCCACTCTTGTCTAGGAGAGAGCAATAAGTAAAATTTCCATACAATACTAAAAACCAAGGAACTTTTACACTAAACATCCAAAAGTAAGTCTGAACAAACTGCAACTTTCAAATTTTATTACAAAGTTAAATAAACTTCCAGGTTCTTCCTACTGAAACACTGCATCTCTATACAATCAGGGTTTGAAACTACATTGTCCACAAAGCTTTCTAGGTTTTAAATGTTCAATTTGTTTCAAAATAGTACTTAGTGGCCTCAGTAGCAATCATGTAATGATCTTTAAGTTGTAACAATGACAATTTTGACATTATTTTGGCAAGATTAGGGCAGCTAGGAAGATGCACGAGTAAATTTGTCCCTTTCAAGTTATAAAACAGCACAAGGACAAAACAGAACAACTGAAGTAAAACTAAGCACAGAAGATATAAAAAGATATGGAAAGACCTAATTTGATCCCCTCCCTCTATAACAGGGCACAGGTCATTTCCAGTGATGCTTCATTCTTACTACATACATGAATAATTGCTCAAATTGCATGGCTATTGCATTTTTACAGGACAACTGCTTAAAAGTCTGGTTTTAAATTTACATCTGAGAAACAGAGTAAGTCACAGTACATTTTGAGCTGTTTAAAAAATATTTATAAACTTGCTTTTAATATGCTAGAGCATTTGGCAACACTTTTACAGCATTTGATTTTATATAATTAAAATTTCATACAGTACTTGTGTTTTTTTCTTAAATCTGTAAAGAAAAATCTCACAGAGTAATACAAATTGCCAACCTTGACTGATGATGCAATTCCAGTTAACAATACTGGCATCAAAACCTTCACTAATTATGTTGACAAATCATTACCTGTACATCTAATGAAGGCAACCAACCTGATTTGAAAACACAACCTTCAGGTTTTATGTTACGTACTTGTCAGGGTGTGCAGTTCTGCAGTGAAATGAAGAAGCACGTAAATATACAAAGGAAATTACAAATTCACCAGTTCCTGCGACACAAACCGTTTTAATCTTTCAAGATATTGTCCATAGAGCTCCACATCATTATGGCCTGCTCCTTCTACCCACAGTGGCTCTACAGGTCTCTGGCAACGTTCAAATAAGGCTAGGCCATGTGAAAAGTCAATTACTTCATCTTCAGTCCCATGGATAATTAACACAGGAGATGTTATCTTAGAAATTTTGTCAATGCTGTAAGAAAAAGATTGTTTCTATGAGTGCAGTCAGTTTTATTATAACTTCTTTGAAGGACCAGAGACTCTTGAATTCACTTTTTAATTACATACTCTAGTTTTAACTACTTAATTTTGGAACTGTTTAAATAAAAAAATAGATCTTATCAACACTCTGGAAACCATTGTAGCAGCACATTTGAGCTAAACAGAAAGGACAAACACTCCCAGAAACTGGTAGGATTGAATAACTCAGCAATTCGAAAGTGATATTCATTACTATGTTCATTAAAAACATGAAGCTTAAAAAATATTTATTGAAATATATACTGAATCAGTTATAGAACAGATGAAATTACTACTTCAGATATTTTCAATTAAAAAAAAACACATGCTTTTCAGAACTAAAATAGTTTTGGCTATGTTAAAATTCTTAGATCTTTGAGCCAAGTGTATTAGTTCATAAGGGTAAAATAGTGACAGTTCTAAAATACATGACAGGAGTTTACTATGCCCCATTTTTCCCAGTCTTTAATACTTATTGAAAAACATGTACTAGAAGAGAACTGTTTATTGTTGTTAGAGGTATTATGGGTTACACAGAGGAAAACTATCCACAGCAACAATTACAGATGTGAAAAACCTTAAAGATTTAAGTAGTTCTATAAACTCCTTCAAATAAAATGTTTCTTGTTATCTACTCCAGTTATCCTTTAAGTCTTTAAAGAACATTCTGAGAATTTATCATATTACTATTTCCCTAATACAAAGTCTGTGTAATTGGAAAAAAATACATGCAAAAAAATCCCACAACTTACTTTGGGAATGCATCAAAGCAATAGGTCTTCTTTGTATCAGGAAAAGCTACTCGCATTCCTGAGGTCAGTGGAGAATGTAGGATTACAGCAGCACTTTCATACCTAGCAGCAAGATCCACAGATGGTACTGTTCCTATACTTTGGCCATATATAATCACATTTTCAGGGCGGATTCCGTACCTAGAAGATCAAATAAGTTAATAAAAAGGCATGTAAAGGGAAATAAACAATTTGTAAAAAGGCAAACAAACCATTTCCATACACTAATCTTTCCTGAGGAAGATAAAACTGAAGCTAGAACAAGAAAGCATATTTTAAGATCATTGCTGAGGTAAAAGGAAGAGTTAGTCTGTATTTGCAGCACATTTCTTGTCTTAAGAAAGAATGATGCTTTAGATTTTGAAGCATAGACTTCAGAATGTTGTTGCAACTTATGAACTAGTTGAGTATCTTCATTGGTAACTCCTGTGGAGCTACAATAGGAATTAGAGCCTCATTAAGTTTATATTTATCATTACTTAGAGGATAGTCAAGCATGCAAAAAATGTTGTCAGTTTTACTCATCTGTTACCTGGTAAAATCTGCAGGATGGTGACATCCTTCAACTTCATGAAACATAAGGCATGCCCTTACAACAGACAATTTTGGACAATGTCCAAAATACTACATGTTCTCTGTAATAGTGAGATGCTTTTTTCTGATTGGTCCGGTATTTGAAACACAGGTTAGAAAAAAATATTTCAGCTAATACCATTAACATATCCCAGTAAGCAGTACAAGGCTCAGGTCAATTTCCTCTCCCTCTAAGGGAGAAAAAAAGTCTTTTTTTTCCTGTAACTGAGGTAGACAAAAGTTGTGAAACATCTAGCTGCACCTATTCAGATCAAATCTAACGTGTTTTTCTGCAGTAATGTGGATGCAAGTATGATCTGATTGCCAAGCAACACAACAGTACTGGAAAAATCTGAGCAAAATGTTACGCTGGCAAGAACAGCACCCACAGCAGAAAATGAGTACTGACACACTGCAAAATACCAGCAAAGCATTTTTACAGCAGATTGGATCTACAGAAGTGTCTGTATGGAAACCTGTAGTTTATGCAGGAGAGGAAGTACTTTAAATAGAGATACTGCACTGCATTCAAAAGCAAAATATAAGTCATTATAATGTATTATCAGAAATTTGTTAGCTCTCTAATTTATGCTAGACTAGCCTACCAGTGCTATGGAATAGCATATTGTAATTCTAATGTTTGACAAGATTCCTAGGGAATTGACAACTGTTTTCATTTAAAGTTAAGGAAGGTTCAGCCATTACCTTCTCTACAATAAACACATGCATCTTCTTTGCAAAAGATGAGAGACCTGTACCAGCTAAGATCACCCATGCTCAGAGTTCTCAAGTTGATTAGCATAACTCCATAAAACACAAAAATTGAGATAACAAGAAATTGTTCAGTATTCCATAAAATATGAATGGATGTCTGCAGAACAAGTACTTCTCAAGAATTTACAAGATATTCAGCACAGACATGCATAGATACCATGAAAACTTAATGTTTCCTAGAAAGAGTCTCTAAAATGACCAAATTAAGAATTCTAAAATACCAGGACTTAATCATCAGTTTTATGTTACTGGCAAGCTCTCTATCTCAAAACAGTTCTCAGAGCACAGCAAAACGACCCAAACACCTAGCATTCCTATTAAGAAGACTTTCTCAGAATTCCAACATACTACAGAACAGTGAATTAATGCTTTGACATGTAAAAAAAAAAAATGCAAAGTCTTAACTATTTCTTTATCTATACTGAAACACTTGAAAACAGAATAAGTCTCATTTTAATAAGCACATTTTTGCATTCTGGAAATACAGTGTTCTTCTATCCCATTTACAAATCAGAACAAAGTCACACTAAATAAGTGACACACTGCGTTATTAGTGTGACATCAAACTTGTGCAGTAAATTATCACAGAACACCACCTTGCAAACCCATCACACATTTTCACCAGTATTAGACACTACAAGGTGAAGACTACTGCACGAAGCTTTAAAGCAAAAAATGAACATTTTTCATTGTATGTTCTCCATTGCCTTTATTATTCTTCTTTGGATCCAAATATCAGCTACAAAAAGTAATGCAGGAATAGTGCTTACTATATTTGGATTAAAGTAAACCTTTTCTGCACCACAGCCCGACTGCCTTCACAGCACCACTCAAACAGCTTTTACAGTCTGGAAACAAATAGTTAAACCTATAACCAGCAGTGGCAGTTTAAAGCAGCTAGATTTTCAAATATTCTGGTATGAAAAATTAGCAAAAAGCCCCTTGAAATCCAAATAACAGTATCAGTAGTATCTGTTTCTGTATTTTCCCCCTTCCCCTCTCCACTCTTTCTTCACCTCCCACTCCTCAAAAAAGAAGTTGAAAGAAAAAGGAGTCCAAACATCCTTCAGTTCCTCTCTCCAAAGTATCACCTTCTAGCTTAAAACTAAAAAGTTCTGCAAGATGAAGGCTGCTAATAAATTCCTTCTCCATAGAATTAATTGACTCTTCCTTTTGGCAGTCCTATACTGGTAAATTCCAATACATTTCATAGAAAGTTATTGAATGTCCAGGTTCTAATTTGGGAGAACAGTTAATAAGTTAATAACTTCATAATTCAATGATTCTTTTATTGCTATGAATTATTAACTAAAGTTTTCCTATTCCTCCAGAATGAAAAGTATGAAATCAACAGCAAATGTAACTGTGATACAGTCCCTTGAGAATTGCAGGCCATCCTGAGAAAGGGGAAGTTATAGAGCTATATGCTGAAAGCACCTATTCAGGAGACAAGAGCTCAGACACTTGCCATGAAAACTGCTGGCATTTTTGAAAACTCATTACATTGATCACAGTAGTAATGCATGCTACTGCCTATTAAGAAAGTTGTAGATAACTTCATTTAGACAGACAATTTTTTTGTTGGTGGTGATAATTGTGAGGGCTTTTTGGTCACAATCACCATAACGGACTTCAAAAAAAAAATATGAAAGCAGCAAAGAGATGCACATTCTCAGAGAAAGCAGCCTTGCACAGTGACAAGTTACTCAGGACTGAATTTAGCATAAAATCTAGACATTTTCCACAGCACAAGGCTGCCAAAACATTGTTTTCCCAGAGCAACTGAGATTTCAATTCCTTTCAACATCTGATTTATCCTTTAAGTTTACGTACCCAAGGGCTACCTTCCAGAACACATGGAACTTGATGAGTGGTACTTTCACAAAAGTAGATTTAACCCTGCTCACAAGTTTGCTAACATTCACACGCATCACATTAAAGGAATAGGTTAATGTCACTACTAAACTATGCGATATTGCCAAAGAGAACAGTACTTTCCTACTTTGATTTTCAGCATGTTGCCCTCATAGGTCTCCTCTAACTAGCTTAGGACAGAGTACTAATCCCTTCTGGGAGTAGGGCAGCTGCTTTTCTGCTCATTTGTGCAGGCTGTCTTCATAGACAAGTAATGACTTGACAGAGGAGGAAACAAGGAAAGAGCAAACCAGTATACCACTAACTGTATCATCACACCACTTCCTAGTACTAGTAACCCAACCTAACATATGGTTTTATTAGTCACCCTTATCTACTCTTCTGCAAGCCTACAAATGATGGTCCCTTGTAATAGAGGCAACCCTGATCTCTCCTTCCTAATCTTCTCACCTTCTGGTAAGAAAAGAACTCATGTTCTAAGCAGCACAAAATATTCTTCTCCCTCCTGTGTGACAACCTTCACAAAGTGCTGTAGCAAGAACTCCTTTATATTAGTCTCTGTAAATAAGACCTTTTCTACACTTATCTTAGTGACAGTCTCTTATTTTTCTACTCTTCTTATTTAACATACACATTACTATGATATAGAAATCTTGCAGTTTGCAAGGTTAAAGTTACCTTTAACAACTAAAAAAAATAAGCAGAAGTTACTATGGTGTGCAATGTGGGCCCCTGGAATATCTGCCATTTTGCCCTTGACACACCCAAGGGAGACAGAAAGCAGTTTATCTTATTATCTCCAAAGTACTGCCATTGATCTTGAAGACTTGCTCCCTTTACAAGACAAAGCATTGGTACAACCAACCTTAACAGGGTGCATTTTCAGTAATATCTCTTAGGTTCCTACTAACAAAGACGTGCAGTAGATGTTCTAGAGAGACTACTGTTTGTTAGATCAGTACAACACTGACAACAACTGACAGCACTGCTTGGGGTAGATGAAATAAGGAGAACATCCTAAGGGAGTTTTAAATGCACATTTCAGCACCTTTTGTCATTATGTACATAACACATGAAATTACAGGTGCAAATTGCAGAACATGAAGGACACAACATCCCTAACTATCAACATTCCAGGCTATGAATTAAATTCATGAGATTAAAACTCTTGCTTAACTCAGAGGCACCTTTCCTTTCTGTGTATGCAACAAATAACATTGCCAGAAAGGTTGAAAGAAGCAAGTTTTAAGAGGTAAGGCAAGTGCATTGATCATGCATGTAGTAATCAACAAGACATATCTCCTTTATCTCTTTCAGGATAGACTGGCCTTTTATAGACCTTATCAGTAGAATGAATGTATGAGTAGCATTGAAAGATTATTACCACGGTAAATCAAGGACATTTTTGCTCATCAGACAGTGCAATCTGTCTAAAAATATTGTAAGTTTAGGCACACAAAGAAATAGCCCTTCTCCTGATGTGCACCAAAAGTAGTATGAGAGAATGATACTTCTGAATGAAAAGTGTAATATGTCAATTTTCAAAAGAATACTTTCAGCCATCATCAGAATAGATTTGAATTAAGTTTGAGTTGTGGATATTCTATCCATTTTGACACATCAGTATGACAGTGAGATCCTTCAGCTTTTAAAATACTGTTTGATCCATGGTAGGAAACAGTGGCAAGGTAGCTTGACTTCTTAAAGATAAATCTCATTGTGAGTCAACCTTGGCATGTCTTGAGGTTTCTGAATGAGCACCACTTGCCTTGCATTTGCCTGGGGCTGGTTAAACCTTTCCACCCTTTCTAGTGTGTCATCAAAGGCATTCAGAGACCAGAGCAGCAGAAGATGGGCGTATCCCAAAATGACTGCTTGCATTTCAACACTTTGTAGCTATGACAGTCAGAAAAAGAATGTTCTCACTTGTGGCTTTTATACAGTACCATGAAGATGAATATGCAATACTGTGCATCTTTCCTAAACACCATGGCAGTGAATCACCTTGCCATCTCTCACAGTCAGCATCCACAAGAACAGCTACTGTGTCCAACCGAAATATTAAAAGCAGACAGATTCTGAATTGTTCTTGTTTATTTTTCACTTCTCCTCCTCTGCTCCACTGGCAAATAGTTCTCTGCATTCATCTACATGCATGATAATATTCACGTATCTTTGGAAGAACCTCTTTTGAGAAAATGGTGTTGTACTAATCTTAATTTCACCCTGAATATTACTTTAAAGACTATTTCTACTCCCTGCAGGAAAGCACTGCCCATCAGGAAAGTTCTTCCAATAAATAACTAATGTCTTTAACACAAGCAGCAGTTCTGACTGTAGAATGATGTCCACATGAGAATTTCAGTTACCCCAGATACTTCTGTTTCCTTTCCAGAGCCTCATTATCAGCAAGTCAAGACTCAACAAGATCAAGCCAACCTCTCCATCTCCCACATATTTCAACGCTGGATTCTGTGATCCCATTTCTCAGAAAAGAGAATGGAGGAAGCTGAATGACTGTGATAAACCTTCAACAGATGTAACTTCTCTATTTCTTTCTTTGTCCAATCACATAAAGAATGAGGCATGGTTTGTAGGCCTACATTTGCAAGACATAGACTTTTCCTATCAAAAGGAACTTCAAGGAAGCTACATTTACCCTACAAAGAACCCACAGAACTAAATTTGCTTTTACAGAACACTGATTTCATAAAGCATTAAAGACAATGCCAGTGTAACACTGACAGAACAGGCTACACCAGAAAAATGAATCAGCACTGCAGCAAATGCTTAAGATTGCATTCTGATCCTGATATCAACTAGTAAAGAGCAGCTGAGCACTGCTTCAGGGCTCAAGAGAACACTGGCAACCATACTGTATGAACTAGTACATCCAGAATCATGTACTGAACTTCACTGTATTCCACTCAGCATTCAAACACAAAAGCAAAACCAGGACTACCAGCTGGAAAGTTGTTGAAAGTAGAAAGTGAAAGCTAGTAATAATAATCACTTTTTAGTCAATGAAGTAAGTTCATATTATTATGAACTTATTTCATTGAACATTGAACATATTTATATCTAAGATCATACTTAGATATAAAACCTAGCTCTAGATACTTAAATATTTCTACACAAGGTTTTGACATAAAACATCTCACAGGAGCAAATTGGCTCAAGGCAGAATCATTCCTGAGTAGAAGAAGGAAAGTAAAAGGGAAGGAATACGCATTTAGAGTCATATACCCCTCTCCTTCCCTACAACGGCTGTCCAGCTCATTGCAGCCTTTCAGTACCTAAAGGGAGCCTACAAACAGGAGGGGAAATCAACTCTTTGAAAGGGTAGATAACAGCAGGACAAGAGGAAATGATTTTAAGTTGAGGGAGGGAAAAATGAGGTCAGATGTTAGGGGGAAGTTCTTTACAGAGAGACTGGTGAGGTACTGGAGCAGGCTGCCCAGAGAGGGTGTGGATGCCCCGTCCCTGGAGGTGTCCAAGGCCAGGTTGTATGGGGCCCTGGGCAGCCTGGTCTAGTATTAAATGGGGAGGTTGGTGGCCCTGCATGTGGCAGGGGGTTGGAGATTCATGATCCTTGAGGTCCCTTCCAACCCTGGCCATTCTGTGATATATTCAGATGGGATATTGTTATGAGCTATAACCTTATTTGATTAGGAAAGCTATTGTTCAAGAATGGAGGGGAGAACTCAAATTGCCGTTGTATTTCCTTCTGAGTTTTCCATACAGAAACTATTCAAAGATGATGTGGTGAGAGCGGGGGAGGAGACAGTTACCAACTAGCTTAAGTCTAATTTCTGTAGTTTGAGTATTCACAAGAGTTTTGCTTTAAATTTGACAACTCATGGCAAGAAAATGCTGTCAAGATGAAGAAGTGGGCTTTATTTGGTAGCTGTATCACAGCATGTGTCTATAGTATTTACCTTACTGTTTCACCATCTGTAAAGTAAAAGCTTAGAACGTAGGCTCTGGAAACACATCTTCCCAGCTTGGGATTTTATTTTACCTTGTCCAGTTTTAATCTGTGCTAACAACAGCAATTCAGATTCCTGGGCTTTGTTCCTACCATAAGGTAGTTATGTAGATTAATTACCTCCTCTCTCAGACACCGTACTTTGCTAAAATAGCTTTCTTTATAAAACAAAAAGCTTTCTACCTTCTGGAAACGCTGTAGCTATTAGTCTGAATTTTGAAACAATGGAAGTCTGAACACTCAAAGACCATTAAATCTGAAAAATAAACTTCTGTTTTCTCTTACCCATTATACCAGTAGGTCTGTGACTGGGGAATCTACTATAGATTTTTCTTCTCCTCTAATACTGTCAACAAAGGGGATCCTTAATTAGGACAGTAAGGGCTATATTTGAAACATTCAAATAACATCAGGTGACACCTTACTAAACTTCATCCCATTTCAGTTTCTCAAGTATATCAGTGCTGAATACTGATACTGCTCAATACTAATACCTTTGTTACAAGATATCACCAGTCTGCTTTGATATGAGTAAATTAATCACAAAAAAAAGCATTTCTGTTTCATTTACCAATGCAGAATAAGCACAGCGATTTAGAAAGCATACTGTAATGTCTTACCTTGTCCTAAGAGCCACCCAAGCAGCATCAATGTCAGCATACAGATTCTTTTCTGTTGGCTTGCCAGAGCTTGCACCATATCCAGAATAATCATATGAGAATATGTTGCAATTAATCCGTGAACCCAGTCCTATGTAAAAGCTGCTCATCTGACCTAGGTCAACAGCATTTCCATGCGAGAAGAGCAAAGTATATTTGGCGTTAGGTGAGCAACGCACAAACATACAGGCAATCCTGTTACCTTTACTTGTTCTAGTCATGAAGCACTCAATAGCATCTTTTTCTCTTGATGAATACTGCCAGTCTGCTCTCTCTGAGAGATGCAAAGTCCAGCGGCTACCACTTTCGTCACACATCAGAGTGTATGTGGGATCAGGAGGTAAGAATGCCAGTTTGGAAGCAATTTTCCCTGGGCATGGTGGACAACAAAACAGGCAACACAGTTCACTGAAGGAAAGATTATTCATCTTCTAGTCTGAAACGGGAAGAGAGAATGGTATCAGTTTCTAGTTATATTGTGACATGAAAAGAAAAAACCTCACTGAAGTTGTAAGTTCAACCTTCTTAGAAAATAACATTGAAATTTAGTGGAATTATTTAAACAAAACAAAAGCTTAAGTATATGTGTAAATTTCTATATAGCACTTTTTTGTTATTAGTAGCATCTTCAGAATTACCATATTATTACAGAAGAGTGGTAACTCTTAAGCATTGCCAGACACTAGAACTGCTTAGGTCAAGAACAAGCATGAGTTTTAGTTTCTTTTGAGGCTACTCGCCTCAGAGCAACAGAAGCACTCACTCCCTTGACAAACTGGCATTATAAAAAAGCAATTAAAGCACACTGTGGTATTTGCAGGATATCAAGGTCACTCAGATTCATTCCTACAGCCACAAACTGATACTATTCTTCCCATATAATGACAATACATTCTCAGTTTGAGTCACGAAGTCTTGCAAACAGTTATCAGTACAAGAGTTGCACAAAGGTCAAAAAGAGACTCTTCTACTGCCTAGCAAGCACTTCAGACCTTCACCCCTCTAAAATCCAGCTGTAAACTATTCTTAGCTCTGCATTCTGTTTGACAACATTTCCAACTCCCTTAAAGTGGTTATCAACCAAGTTCCTCATTTTGCACATCAGAATTGGGGTTATGTTATCAATCTTAAAGAAATTACTTTTTATTCCATGTTTTAACAAAAACACTCCAGACATACTGTAACACAAATAACTGACAAGGCAAAATAACCTATATTATGAATTCAAAGCACTTAATAGGGAGGGGAGAGGGAGTTTGAAAAAGAGCAGAATAGACACAGACCTAAAGCAAGGTAGTTAACAACATTGCTGCCCTGATGAAGAGACACTGAGCCCTCCTAATTTACAAGGCTGAGAAGGAAGAGGAAAAGAAATCTTTATTGTGACAGTACTTTTCCCTTGAAGGTTGGAGAATGACAATCTGCCAAGAACCGTGAAGTACATCAGCACACCTACCATAAGTATTTACTTTCCTGTTGTGAACACATCTGATGCTTTATCTCAAAGAACTTTTCCACCCCAGCTCTACTACAGGTCTCATGCTCGGTTCCTATTGGTCATGCAAATGGAAACTCTCCTACAATTTCATGTACCAGCTTTGACAGCTAGAGTCAAGCTTAAAAACAGGAATAACAACAACAGAAAGCCAATTTCTGATGTCACATTCCCTTGTGGGTTCAGGCAACAATTCCCTTGTGTCAGTCAACAATAAAGTCTTACTGTAACTATGATACCTGGCAACATCAAAATACATTTCAGTCTGTTCTTTAAGTTGTATACACTTCACTTTGGAAAAGTTTTATAGGGCACTGCCATAAGAACTTCTGAATACAGATGACTGAACAGTTAGCCTTATTTTGACTGTATGAATGGTCTCTTCCCTTAGTACAATGTGTGACACTCATATAGAACTACACAATCATAGAACATATTTGTTGATAACTAAATCACAGCAAGTCTAATAAACAAGATGTGTGTTTCTGAAATATTACTGCTTCTTGTGAAGCATAAAACAATGGCTTGGTTGTTCTTTTTTTTTTTTTTTGTCAGGTGTTTTCACCCCCCGTCTCTAGTTTTCTTCAAAAGAAAGGGAAATCACAGAGTTGTCAACATAACCAGTTACAGGAGAATGGGGCCCATCAGCTGCCATGAAAAGGTAAGTTATCTCTTAATGAACAGATCTGGAGTATACGACCTACCAGTTAAGGAAATAGACTCATGTATTAATGCAATAAGCAAATTAGTCACTTAACTTGTAATTGCTCATATGCTCTCTTTCAAGTGACATTATTGGACATTACTTTCAACATGCAAATAAAGACAAGTGGGAAAGACCTACCGAAGATGTCCAGAGACTTTCAAAAGGCTTTGAACATCTTATGCACAAGAACAGGTAAATATTTATTTCCTGCTTTATGTCTCTCATGGCTGTGAGCACCAAAGGAACCATTTTCTTCACTTTAATCAGAAAGCTCATATTCGCAGACTTTGAACAACAGTGTTGTTTGCAGAACTAAAAAAGCCTCTTGAAGTATTACAACATCACCAATGACTCAGTATTCAATCACACCTCTACTTCTATAGAAACTATTAAATTGAGTATTTTTTTCCCACTTTTCCGGAAAATTTGAATGCCAAAGCTAGATAATACAGTGTACTTTATGATGGAGGGAAGCATTTTCATTTCATTGGAAAAAATGTAGCAGTACCTTCAAAACTAAGGTATAAACAGCCTCTTGTGTCCAAGAATAGATGACCGCATTCTATTCCAACATAAAGTAACAACTGCAAAACTTCTTACTTCCTTTATAAACCACATGTCAGAAAGAACTGAAGCCAGGAGTTTACATTGTTTATAACCATATACAGCCCTGCAACACTACAAATAAGATTTCACACAAAGTATTTGCTATCTGTTGTAATTTTAACTGGTCTGTGGAATTCATATTACTGCAATAATTAGAGATTATCAGCTGAGGAGGTACAGGGCCCCCAACATAGCTTAAAATGTGCTAAATATGGGTTGCTGCCACATATGACAAATGAAATATGTGGAAGAAAATGGATAAAGTATCATTTCTCTCCTTGTACCAGACTGTACTGTAGACTTTATGTAATGCCCATTTAATCTTTATTGAAACTTCAGTTTCTTATTCCTGAGCCATTCTCCACTTGAATCATGGCCAGCAACAGCCTTTGCTTTAAAGAAAAGAGTCGCTGCTATCTTTTCTTGGAAAAACTGAAGAAAAAAATTAGATCCCTAGCATCACTAACTGAACAAATGTGTCATAGAACACCCACTGGTCCTCCTCAGGAGGACACTGCCAACTACATGTAAACAATGTTTTCATTATACTGGAACTGGTTTGTCATTCATTGTATTCACATGAGTGCGTTCTTTACCTCTGGATCTGGAATGGAACCAGGATGTGAGAATCCCCATGGTGCACAGTGTTATTCTGATATCACTGTTTAAAAGTACGATTGAATCAGCATTTCAGCCTAGTAGATACGCACGTGATGTCATAACTTCAATTAGAGCAGACATTATCATTCCTCAGAAGGTATACAGGTAAGATACTTCAGTGAAGTGATTAAAGTTTGTTTCCTTTAAATGTTAGGAAGACATTCAACGTGATTTCTTAATGACTTCCCAACACAGGAATTAAGACTTAAAAGAAAAATTTAAGTAAGTCTTCATTTACTGCCAAGTCTTCACAAAAGCAGTTCAAATTTCCCATCTAGACATCAAGAGTATTACTGAAACCTCTGGGCTTCTAATAAGCCTACTATATAATTTATGGAACTCTAAATACCATAGGTGATACTGTTTGAAAAAACACCAAACCAATAACAAAAAGGCTTGAGTATACTTCACATGAATTCTATCACTAAAACCAGGATAAAATCAACTCCCACCAGAAATTACCACAAGGATAGGTTAGTAATGTTAGTAATGAGATTAACATATGCAGAGAACACCCAGGTCACAACCTAACTGCTTTTGAGAACGCATGATGAAAATTTATCCTCATAACACTAGAATCTCCAGATACAAAGATAACACATTTCAACAACATAACAGTAAAGATGACAGCGCTGCCCTGCAAACATGGTTCCTAATGCTGGTGAAGTTATTAATAACAGAAAGAATGTAGAAAGAGAAATGCAAATATCCTTTAGAAATATAAAGAACACTGTGTTTTCATGCAGATATAATAGAAAAATTGCAGAAGGAACTATAATGCGTGATTTTTACTACAGCTCCAAGAAAAGTGAAGAAACAAAACAGACTCAAGTGACAAGACTGCTCTTTGTAGAAGAGCCTTTAAAAGAAAGAGGAGACTATTTTATGAAATTTATCTCTCTCATGAATAATAACAATAATTAAAAAGTAGCATACAAGAAGGAAAATTTAGAACTGCCTACAGGCAGTAGTTAAATTCAGCAATTAACCTTATGATCAAAGCTGACAGAAGAGGGGAAAAAAATCCACCTAATCTGAAAGTACACCTTAAATATTTATATTGCTACTCCTAGGATAATGCAGACATATTTCTTTCATATAAGCAATTATTCTTGTGCTTGTTGTATTCTTGTTCTTGTTGATTCTGTGCAATCAGATTGGCTTGTATTATTCACATCTTGAAGTACTTTACTACATATTAGCATCTTAGCCTCAAAAACCCTGCCCATGCAAACACTTATCTAGAAATCTTACATTTAAAATTCTACAGATTTAATGCAAATATGTATTTAAACTAAATTACTTACATCATAAGAACAATTCAAAAGAATAAAGTCAAATTCATAAGCACTACTGCCAGCTTGTAAACCTTATTGTTGCCCTAACTTTGCAACAAGCAAGACATTCACATTGTGGTGTACTGTTTTTTTATGAATAATCATTTTTTCATTATGCAATCCTGAAATAATGTACTCGAATGCCTATCCCTTTTACTGAAGGCAAGGCAATGAAAACTGTAGTTCAAACCGTTACTGAAACTCTAACGTTAACACCTGTGTACATTGCTACAGAAAGGGCAAAAGAAGGGTTTGAATACAAGTTTAACATGTATCAGTTCAACACATAAAGGAACAAAACTTTAAGCAAACCGGTATACAAGTAAGCTACATTAGGTTAGCCACCCTACGCAGTGCTATTAAGAGTGAACGTCCAGAAAATAACACTGAGGAAGTTTATTCAGTAACGAAAAACGACCCAAGATAATATTATTAATCCTCCAAGCTCTTCTCAAACAAAAACAAACAAACAAAAAAAAAAAAACAACCTATCAACGCAATTACATTCGAGAAAAAAAAAAAAACAAAAAAAACCAAAAAAAAAACCAAGCAATAGTAACAGCCACACCGTACAGAGGCATGATGAGAATAGAACTTGAGTTCGGAACACACTGGTTACAAACAAACAAACCGTGTGTTTTCGAGTGGCTGCCTCCGGGCTGAAGGCGTTACACTTTTAAGCGATCACCGCTCGAGAGAAAGGCTAAGGCCAGCTTCGCCCTCGCCAGCAGGGGCAGGAGCCGAGAAAACGCAGTAAGTCAGCCTCACTGCAACACCCGATCTCCCCAGACGGCTCCCAGCAGCTCGCAATGCTGACAGAGGCGCTAAGAGCGCGGGGCCTGAGGACGCACAGCTCGGGAGAGGCCAGCGGGCAGCAGCTGCTCCATCCTCGAACAAAGGCGCCCCCAGCGTGAGCGGGGCAGCAGCCGTCCCGCAGCACCCCGCGGGCGGAGCAACGGGAGAAGGCGCCGCCCGCCCCTACCCCTCGCCGCAGCCACCCGGAACGTCTCACCTGCCCGGCAGCCCCTCCCTCTCCCTCCCTGCCCCCGCTGCAGCCGCCCCCAGCTCGGCTCAGCTCGGCCCGCCGTCCCCAGCCCCTACCTGCGCGGGGCTCCCGGCTCCCCTTCGCTGGGCAGCGGTGACCCCGCGCGCTCCCGACCACCGCCGTCCGAGCGCCGGGCGCGGCGACGTCGGTTGTGCTGAGTAACGGCTTGGCGGCGGCTGCCGGCTCAGCGGTGCCTGCTGCCTCCCGCGCAGCACTCGGAAGGAGACGCGCGGCCGGCGGAAGCCAGTCGCCAACAGCTTAGGGAAGCGGCGCCGAGTTCGCCCCGCCGAGCGGCTGCATCTGACCCGGCGGCTGCCGCGGCGGCCAAAGGGGCACCAGGGCGGAGCCGGCCGCGCGGTGACCAACGGCCGCTGAGCGCCAATCGGAGCACGGCCCGCAACGCGGCTCCGACCGCAGGGGATCCGCCTTAGAACGGGCGGGCGGGACGTGGCGAGCGGACGGCGAATCGCCGCTGCGGAGCGAGCTTAACGGATGGCTGCTTCTGCCAATGGCAGATGGAGGGTCGGGGGAGGAGCGGTTCCGGGGCACGCGCGGCCTGCAGCGGCGGTTGCCGGGGGAATGAGCTCCGAGAAGGGGAACGTGGCGCGCAGGCGGCCCCAGCGCCACCAGAACGCGCGCGCCTTCAGGAACGACAAGTACGACACCAGCGCGCGGCTGAAGGTAGGCGCAGGGCTGGGCCTAGGCGAGGGTCGGAGCTGGCCTTGGGCCCGCCGCCGGGAAGTGTGAGGGCTGAAGGGAGGCCCGGGAGGCACCCGGGGTCAGAGGCGGGGCGGGGCGGACGGGGCGGCAGGAGCCGAGGCCTCGTGCGGTGATTGGAACCTACAGTGAGAAATGTTCGTCGAGTCACTTCCATGTAAGAAAGGAAAGCTGAAATAAAGTGTTCGCCTCTGCGCTGTGAGTGCAGAGTTGTCTGCGGGGTTGGCAGCCCGACTTCTGGAAAGGTGCTCGCATTGAAGATCTCTATTGTATCGCCTTATTTCTGACATCTCAGCCTTGTCGAAATTAATTTTGAACGACTTCAGCTATCATCTCTACACGACAAGTCATGCTTTTGAGACAACTGAGAAAGCACGCATGTTTGCTTTAAGGCTTGAATAAACCCGGCGGTGTGCTTAGGGGTGGCTCCACACAGGTGCCTCCTGCTGCTTCATCAGGGCCTCTGCTGCTTGGCGGTGGTCTGATATTTCACACCATTGTTACAAAAGACCATTGTTGTCTTTTAATTAGTTTCCAAGAAAGGCAAAGGAAATGGTTCACAACGTATTCCTGGAATACCTTCTATCTACATACAGTTGTGGCAACATAATAGTGCTGTGAGGATGAAGACCACACAGTGTGCTGAGCAGTAGCGTCACTGCAGTGAGGTGCTTGGTTTTATGACAAAATGCCTTATGAAACTGAGAAATGTGAATAAAACAAAACGCGAGATGAGCACTCTGGAGGAGGAATATGTAGCGCTGTTGTCATTCTGTCAGTGTCCCTTTAAATAGGTTAGATTGTCAAAAAGAATTGAGAGGAGGGGAATAAACTGGTAAGTCAAAACAGTGGCACCAAAGGGTTGTGGTTTCTTTTTTTTTTTTTTTCCCCAAGTGTTTGTAGGACTGGTTCTGCAAGTTGAACAGGCTGTTTTCCTGCTCCAAGCATCACCAGTATTATTAATTGTTTGAGTCACTTTGTGATCTCCGATTGTACAGATAAATGTGTTTTCCTGTATGTATCCATATGAAATATCCTAGAGAGCAGGTCAATCAGAAAAGTCCTTAAAGAGAAAATGAGTTCAGATTTGTAACTGAAACGATCTCTTTAAAGTACACTTTGGTATTTTTTTTTCCTTTTTTTTTTTTTTTTTTTTTTTTAGTATATTTGATATCTGAGAGAACTGGCTCCACAGTGCCATGAACTTATATAAATATATATTTTTAAAAAAGCACAGAACACAGTCAAGATTCAGTGCAGGAACTGAATTCAATGTGGAACTGTGTCTTTCTTTTCCAAGGAAGTGCTTTCTTCCTCTTTGTACCTGCCAGTTCTTGGAGATTGCTGAATAGAGGGAAGAAGCTGCTTCCTATTACAGGGTAGTGGGAAAGAAAGTTTGTTTTCTTGTGTTGTACTTTTGTATACAAATTCAAATTTTTGCCTTCTTTTAATAAAGAATATGCAGAGGCCATTATAATGATAACTTGGCTTGATTCTACCCTTTAAGAAACTTGAAAAGATATTTAACAAGATTCAAATAGTGACTAATGTTATGCCACACATGCTGAATATTGGCAAGAGCTTTGCTTCTCTTGTCACTTCTATGTACTCGTGTGGTCCTGAGTGATCACATTGACTACAGACATCTAAGCTGTAATGAGACAAAGGAAGAAAGTGGCAGTTTGATCATGGCACAGAACTGGGACATTCCTCCTTTTCATGTCTTACTGGCTATCAGTTTAGAATGCTGAGTGGGTGGATCTCCAGTAAATCACTGCTATTTTAAGTTTGTGGCCTGTCTTTAGCTACTGTTGTACACAGTGCAGCTCAGTGCCATCTTCAGTCTGTAGAATTATTTTTAGCTTAAAATTCATATCTTTCTGCATGTGTGCACTGCATTAGCAATGCTGGATATCAAGTTCGGTAGCTTCAGGTTGTACTGTGGTTGAAGCTGAGGTCATTATTTTCACGTCTGTTTCTAGTCTTCCCTGTGAATAAGTGGCTGAAGAGGAAATTATTATAATAGTCATTACTTTTTGTTGCTATTTCTTGTTTGTTTTGTTTTGCAAGGTTTTATACTTTGTATCTGAAATGAATTGGCATCCATTTTCTAATCTTAAAGACTAGTTACGTTTATTTGTAGAACATGCTGAAAGGGCACTTGTGTTTCTCCTAATGACCAGGCCCTACTGCCTGCATTAAGTTGGGATAGGCTAGATGAGCTGAAAACAGTGCATGTTACATCTGACCCATGTTTAGGTAGCTGCCTATGAAGTGCTGGGAAAGCCTGCATGCTGGGATGAATGAAGAAGGAAGGGCTGGACAGAATAAAACACACTGCTGTTAGTTATTGAAATTGGGAATTTTGTTTGTGGGCGATTGCTTTACCTAGTATATTCTGGAACAGCTGCTTGTGACTCTGAGCTGAGGAATGTATGTTATATAAACATAAATTCTTAATTATTATTATTACTTAAGACAGTGTGGAAACTGGAAATAAAGGTAATTCTAGAGATGAAAGAAAGCAGTGTTCAATAGGAACATTTAGAACTCCATTGTAATGAGATGGTAGGCCACAAAATGATTCATATTTACACCCAAATGACTGATCTGTTTCTCAGTTTCTTCCCCTCATTAATTACACTCCAGATGATAATCCAGATTTTCCAAAATTTTAGAGGTTATTAACTCTGAACCTCAACTTTACCATTATGCTGATGCTAGCTACTTCTTCAGCTGGCTGTGTAGATAATTTGTTTTAGTTGAGGCACTGATCAAGACTGTGGAAGGCACTGGGAAGAGGCTTAATTGTGGAGTCAATGAATGAGACTTAGAAGTTCAGAAGGGAAGATGTAGGTGCACTGGTAGCCAAATGGAAGTGACAGATAACACTGCTGGAATTTGTCTTGCTGCAACATAGGGCAACTTGGCAGGATAAAGTCTGCTTTCTAGCTATTCCTTTTCTTCTGAGTTTGAAAGTGAATTCAGACTTATCTTGCAGTCTTTCATGTAGGTAGAAGAGAAGTAAACTGAACATATATTTTGGACTGTGACAAGACTGCGCTGAAGGTAGACACAGTACATATGCACATTGTAAGTTCTTCTAAATATGCACAGTCTCTCACGTTCTGAGATACGTGGTTGTTCTTGGAGAATGAAGTTGTTAAGAACCTCTCCACTGATGTGAAAAAAGGCTAAATGTCTTGGAGATCAAGAAGGCCATTTGGAATTGGGCTTAAAAGGAAGATTTCGATTTCCTGTGTTTTAAAGTCAGTATATGCTGTACGTGAGCAAGGGAAGTTTGCTGGGGAAACTGATTTCAGTCTGTGAGGCATGTACTATAGCAAATACAAGGATTTTCTATCACAGAGTTTCTGTCTGTTAGTTTGCACTGTTCTGTTCTAACTACTTTGTAGTTGTACACTGGAGATTGTGTGGAGTCTTGTTTTTCTGAGAATGCAGTCACTCAGAAATGTTGCATTCAGCTTTGTTGATCCAATCAGTATCTGCTGTTTCTTATGAGAAGAAAGATTTTGGATAGCGTTGATGCCGTGTTGATTTATAGTAGAATAAGCCACTGATGTGTCGTAGAAGTCTGCTGTCAGTGCAATGAATCAAAACACACGTGCATGCACACATAATTAGAAACTTCCAGACAGACAGTGAGGCATCTTTGAAACCCCGTTATTACATCCTCCTTGTGACTGCTTCTTTAATGCTAAGCTTAAGCTAGGAGTCATTTTGTGAGCCAGGTTAGTAGGTGTAGGCACATGTGTTTACTTTAATACTTTCTGAACTGCTTTTGGCAGATTGTTAAATGTTTTAATGTTGGGTTAGTTGAGCATACAGAGGATGCTGTTTTATTGATGCAGTTGACCTGACTGTGTATATTATATGCACATGGAATGTTTTGTGACTGCATACTTCAGACTTGTTTATATATGCCAGCGTTGCATAATTGCTGTGTCTTTGGAGAACGTACAGAAGTACTGCAAGCATTGAATGAACTATCCTGATATTGGAGGAAGTATGCTAAAGGGGAAGAGGAAAGAGCTAGTATGTAAAATAGGGAAATGAAAGTAAAAAACGGCTGTGACAGAAACAGAATCTAATCTGAGTAGTTTTCACACCTAGAAAAAACATTTCAGACCAGAAGCATTAAGCATTACCATGTTGTTGTGTGTGAGAAAGCTGAGTGAAAGCTGTTTAAAAAAAAAAGTTTGAATGGAAAAGATGTTTGAAATCCTATTTCAGGTCTTTGTGTATGTAGTTGGGTTTTTTATACTGTTAGATGAAAGCAAGCTATTAAATGGTTGAAAAGAAAGAAGTCTGAATATGTGAAATGTATCAGATACATACAAGAGTGAATATTAATGGGAAAAACAAGCAACAGAGAAATTTATTTTACTATTAATTTCCATGTTATGGCTGAGATAGAAGGGAAGTTTCTCGTCATGTTTGTGAGGGGAACTTAATCTTACATGTTTCTCAATCAAAAAATAATAAAAAATGATCCAAATGTTTAATTTTGCACAATTTTATTGGCTTCATCAAGTCTGTTTTGCTCATGAAAAGCAGCTTGTATTAGTAAGATTTAAAAATCAGGTACTATTTATGAGCAAGATAAACTTAGAAGACAAGCACAAATCAAGATTTAACTGGGTAAATCTGCAGCTTAATGTGCTTTACATCAATCCATCGTTCTGTTTTGATTTTCTAATTCCCTGGCTAGTGGAAGGATGTTAGAATTGGTTTCCCATTCAGATATGCTGAGCCAATGATTAACCATCTCACCCCATACCTGCAGTGCCAAAATTGAGTAAAAAATAAAGGACATGGCTGAAGAGGAGGAAGGTACTGTGCTGTATGTGTGCCTGTTAGAAGGATGAAGTTGAAACTTAAAATCTGTTGTCTTTCTTCCAGTTGCCAACTTCTGAGCAGATTCCTCGTTTTTCTTTGAATTCCAAATTGTTAAATTTGTAGTCCTACAGATGGCTGTTGATTAGTCCAGGTGCCTTGGAACAAGACTGAAGTACAGTAGCTACAGCCAAATTTGGTGTCTTTTTCTGGTACCAGTAATACCGCAGCATTTCTGACATGCTTCTTCCAAGAGTGTTTTGTTTCTATTACGATTGAGCATTTAGTACTTTAATAAAGTGTTAAATTTCCTATTCAATAAGGTTTTAAATCTTCTTAGATTCTTGAGAACATTCTTTGTTACTTATGTTAGAGTCCTCTTATTGTTTATCAGCTACATGTCTGTTGGAGAACTGTTAGTAATATGACTGAAAGTAATTTCAAAAGCAATTTCAAAATTAAAGAGGTAGGAAAGTTTGGGAACGGTGATTCATTTTGTTACCAATCTTAGGAATTATCTCGATTTTGAGTTTCTTCTATTTTATCTTTAGTCTCATTTTTGCACTTTGTTTAAATTTCTTATCTGAGAAAGGAACAGAACAGAAGTGGTACATTTGATATTGGTGGAAGGAGCAGGAGCATCCCTGCATACTTCCTGTAACTGTATCTCTGTACTGGCAGATAAGCACTCCATTGTTTGGAATGAAATTGCCCTCTTAGCTCTCCTGACTTGCTGCATTTACTTATCATTTCTACTGTGACTTGAAAATCTGTCTCTGCAGAAGCCACCTTCATTCTTACAGCACAGTCCTCTGTACTTCAATTATATCTTTCTTCATTTCCCCTAGGGAATCTACTGTTTCATTGCCTCTCCCACTGAAGCTTTGTTTAGTCAGGGTGATGGGCATCTCTTCAAAATGTGATTATCTTTTAATGACTCAGTGTGATATGTAAAAATTAAATTTGGTAATGTTGAATTTCTTTCTCTTCGTGACTTTTGTGTCCAAGCTCTTAGTGTTTTGGTCAATGTACTTAATTTGTAGCTTTGTCCTGAATGTTTGGAGTATGACTGATCGAACCAGGAATGTGGAATAGTTGAAACTTGACTGTGTAAAAACAGTCTAAATATACAGACCTGCTCTGTACCTGGTAGAGGTTGACAGGCTTTATATAGATAATGTGCTTGTTACTATGAAATGGAATTACTTTACTTTTTGAGCTTCTCATATATTACTCATAATACATGAGAGAGTTTCTGTGGGGAAACAGTGAATTAGAGTATTGGAGGGAGGACTTCAGAATGAGTTCAGATAAGACTCTGGAAATTGTTCGAAACAAAGCTGGCATATATGCTATGTGGCAAGTCCTTGGTCCTGCTGTAAGAGGCATTTCCAAGCATTCTGAATGCTGTCTTATGAGCAATGTGAAAAGACATCTTTGCAACTCAGCATGATCTGCCTTTTTGTTTTATAATGACTGGAAGATTAGCCTTGAGAAAAGAAGACTGAGAGGGGACCTGATCCAGGTCTATAAATATCTAAGGTGTGGGGGCAGAATGGTGAGGCCGGACTCTTTTCAGTGGTGAGTGGAGACAAGACAAGGGGAAATGGCCGGAAACTGCAGCATAGGAAGTTCTGCACAAATGTGCACAAGAACTTCTTTACAGTGAGGTGACGGAGCACTGGAACAGGCTGCCCAGGGAGGTGGTGGAGTCTCCTTCTCTGGAGATGTTCCAGACCTGCCTGGATGCCTACCTGTGCGACCTGCTGTAGGGAACCTGCTTTGGCAGGGGGGTTGGACTCGATCTCTGGAGGTCCCTTCCAACCCCTACAATTCTGTGATTCTGTGATTCTGTGATTATTATATATTCAGGAGCTGTATGAGATATGGGAGTGGAAGGGGGGGAAAGGGAGGAGAAGAAGTGCTATTAATAATAACTATATGCATTTCACTGTACCATAAGAATCATTCAGTAGCATCTGAAGTAAGATGTCTGTTCTACAGACTTTAAGTTTCCTTCAAACGAGAGGTGAAAGTAATGCCTGCCTTACTCTGCACTGTTTATGCCACGCACACCTTCAGTGTGGCCTCCTAAATTCCAGGTGTGTTACACATCGCTGAGCCAATCCCTGTGTCACGTAGGGACAGGGTTCTGTCCCCAGCACTGATAGTATGACACGTTATTGGAAACTAGGTGTTTGTCAGCAAGGAAGCTAACTCTTGTTTTGAAAGAAGGTGTTAGCAACTTCTTCAGCAGTTATTTCAACTGTCTTCAGTGTGAACTGTTGCAGTGTTTTTAAGTTTATTGGGTTCTGCCTTGACAATACCAAAAGTAGTTGATTACAGTAAAGCATGCTGGTGAATACAAATGACCTTTGTGTCTATCTTCCCTTCTGCATTACTAATTAATGCAAATTAGGATAGTGAGAGGGAGAACTGGGAAGTTGGGTCTTATTTGCACATTTTTAGAAGCTTATTAAGGCTATCCTGCTTGGAATCTTTATGCGAATTAAGCACTGGAAAGAAGGCATATCTTCAAATTGCATGCATTTTGAAAGTGTGAGCACAATCAAGCTGACCTGTTTGATTGGCAACATTTTCACAGGTATCTACTGAGGACTTATTTTCTTCTCTCAGAAAGTTTTTGTGTTGTCTGAATAACTGTGTTTCCTGGCAAACTTCATTCCCAGTACATAGCAGGGATCAGAGCTTTCTTTATTATAGCATTATAGCAAACTCAAAGTAGAGGGTGACCTCACCACTCTTTCTGCTGAAGAAAATAACAAGTGGTAAATGTATAAAATGATTAACATCAGATAATTTTCTAAATACAGTGTGAATCACATGATGCGTAAAAATGCTTTCTAAGCAAGATTATACTTATAAGAAAGCTTCTCTGATTCTAATTATTATTTGTTTATTTAGAAAATAAATTCTAAACTTCATGATGGAGTGTGTCAGCATTGTAAAGGTATTTTGGAGTGGCGGGTAAAATTCAGCAAGTATAAACTACTATCAAAACCTAAAAAATGGTGAGTACAGATACTTTGTCTTAATCACTGGCAGTATTGTTTGTGAACTTTCTGGAGCATATTTTGTTTTTGGAAACTTGTAGATGCTACAAGTCTATACTACTTATATATCATGTTTTTCAGTCTGAAGTCTGCAGCAATAATCAAAATACTGTATTAATTTTCAATTTCTTTAATGCTTTTATCTTAAATATTAGAAAACATAGCAAAGCAGCTGCTTCCTTCCTCACTGTTAAAATGTTTGAATATTCTTAATGATCATTTTGAACCTGTAAATTTCCAAAAACATGTCAGTGCCCTCCCAGAAAAAGAGTTAGAACTGAATCAGTTATAGTGTGATTTTCTCAGATCTCGTAGCAAGTCAGAATTGCACATCTGTAGAGGTTCTTACATCAGTGTCTCCAGATGCAGCTAACAATCCAGCAATGAAACACTGAACTCGAGGAAACTATAGCTGGGATGTGGTGCACAAAATAATCAGCTTTGTCTCCCTAGCTCCTTCCGTATTTGTATGTTGTTCTTAGTTACATACTTCTGACATATATGCTTCTGAACCAGTTGGGGAGGTTATGTGAGAACATACATAATTTCCTGAATAATTGTGTCTTAATTTTGGTTTTCTTAAGTCTGAAAGAGAAGGAATATCTGTTCATACTGTATCTGCTACTTACATAAAGTTTTACTTTTTAATATGAAGCCATACACAAAAAATATTTTGTTTTTAAACAGTGTCATCCTTTCATGTTATAGAATAAATCGTTCTACTTAATGTAGAAGTCTCTAGTTTCCAAAGTGGATGTTCTGGGTTATGCTTACCACTAAGTAGGGATTCAAAAACAAAAAATCTTTCGCAGGTGACAAATAGATCATGCAGATGGGCATGGCATGGCAGTAAGGGTGTGGTGCACAGTTCACACAGGTAGGGAGCACTGCAAGAGCAAAAGCTGCCCGGAACTTTGAGCCTGAGGGCAGAGTGGGGTGTCGTGGTTGCAGGTGTGCCCAGCTTGATCAACTTTTTGAGCTGGTGGCCAAGTTGCATGAGGAAAACACCAGGCTGAAATGTATCCAGCAGTTGGAGAGACTGTGATGCTTGGTGTCATACAGTAACAGAAGCCAGACCAACAGCCCTGTCTTAAGTTTCAGCAAGGGAAAGAAGATAAGCAGACTTCTGGCCCTAAGGAGTCAGACGGCAAAAAAAATTTCAAAATGAGGGAAACTGGACCTTGTCTCTACTCAGGCCAACAGGAGAAGCCTTTCTCTTGCCCCTGAAATATTCTCAAGCAACAGATGTGAAGCTCTGGGGATGGGAAGAGAATAACATCTGGACAGTGGCTGAGAACTGGAAAGGAGCAACCAAGTTAAGATGGTCCAACCAAAAATCTGAGTTAGAACCAGTGCAGTTAAAGAAAAGGCAAAGCATCTTTGTGATTAGGGATTTTGCCCTGAGAAGCACTGAGGCTCCCATTTGCTGCCCAGATAATCATTTAAGAAGTTTTCTGTCTGCCAGAAGCCTGCATCTGGGACATCCAGAAGAGGCTACCAGGTGTGAAAAAGCTGGAGGGCTACTGTCTGCTGTTGCTCTTTCAAGCTGGCTCACAGAAGGCTGCAACTAGGAAATTACAAAATGTTAAAAAGGACTTTTTGACCCTTGGGAAGATGATGAAGGGAGTGGAAGCATAGGTAGTATTCTTGTCATGGTTGTGTGATTTTTGTTTATTGGTGTTCCACATCATAACATCATGTAGTCCACTGGGAGTTGAAGTGTTAATGCTCCAGTTCTGGGTACCCAGAAGAGAAGAAGAGCTAGATTCCCTAGAAGACTGTTCACTGTGCTGTTATCATTTCTGCTCAGGGGGAGCAGACATAAGGCCGTGGTGGTCATCTGACCTCCTCTTCTAAGTCAGGCTCTCCCCCATGTTGCTCAAACAGACTGCGCATCTCACCTCAATGTTATGGTGAGGCCTATCCACCTTTCAGACACTCTCTCTCATTATATGTATTAGTTTCAATTCTAATTATATTGTATTATGGTGTATTGTCATGCATTCTGATACCATATTTAGCAAATTAGTTTGATTCTCCTCAGATGTTGCTGCTATTTTTATTTTGGGCTCCCTGTTTCCCTTTTCTGGAGGTATTGATTTGCAACATCCCTCCGCCTTCCTAGTCACAGAGCTGGGCCAAACCAGCCTGTAAACCGTTGTCAGTTCTCCTCAGTCCTCCTGGTTGGATACTAGGAACCAGGAAGAAAATGGACCAGTTTGTGAATGGACACATGGGTGTCTTTTGATTGTAAGATTTAGGTTGCACCTTTGTATAAACTGGACATGTTTATGTTGGTTGGGATATAACTAAGCAGGATGGCAAAGAACATACCTGGGCAGCTAGCTGGCAGGACTGATCATCAGAGCATAAAACTAAATTTGTTGGAGGAAGGAGATGTGCTACTGAGTGACAGAGAATAGCTGGAAACACTGTCACTTTAGGAAGCAGAAGGGGAAAACCTCAGATTTATCCCGGTGGAACTTAGGACATATGGGAGGGTAACATGGTCAATAGGCCAGCTAAAGTGACTCTACACCAATGCACACAGCATGGTGTATGGAGATGGAAACTTGGTAATTAGAAAACTCTGACCTAATTGCTATCTTAGAAACATGATGGGACCAATCATACAACCAAAAAACTGTGATTGAGGGCTACAGTCTTTTTAGAAGGGATAGGCAAATTAGGAGGGGCAATAGAGTTTCTCTCTATGTTAAGAAGAGGGTAGATTGCAAACAGCTGACTGAGAAACAGCCATGACCAGGTTAAGAGCTTGTGGATTAACATCAGGGACGAAACCAACAAAGGACATCTGATTGTCAGGGTTAATTGCAGGCTGCCTTATTAAGAGGAACTTGTTGACGAGACCTTCTTGCTTCAGCAACAGGAGGCATTGTGCTTGCAGCATCTTATCCTGATAGGGGGATTTCAGCCACCCGGAAATTTGCTGGGAAAACAACATGGCATGATACAAGTAATCCTGGAGTCTACTGAGGATAAATTCCTGATCCAGATATTGGACAGACCAACTAGAAGTGAAGTGTTACTGGCTGATAAACCTCACTTCTTTGCCTGGAAAGATCATGGAACAGGTCCTCCTGGAAGATATATTAAGGAACATCAGGGATGAGCTGGCAATCCCATACAGCCAGCATGGTTTCACCAAGGATGTATCATGCCTGACCAGTCTGATCACCTTCTGTGATGATGGAGTGACAGCATCTGTGGGCCAAAGAAGGGCAAACTGGTATCATCTGCCTGGACTTGTGACAGGCCTTTGACATGGTCCAACCACATCCTTATCTCCAAATTGGAGAGAGATAGATTTCAAGGGTGGACTGTTTGGTGGGTAAGTAATTGGTTGTGTGGTCACAGCCAGAGGGTTGTGGTCAATGGCTCTGTGTCCAGGTGGAGGCCGGTCAAGAATGGTGTTGTCCAGGTGTCTGCCTTGGGACTGGTATTCTTTAACATCCTTATCAATGGCATAGATGGTAGGAGTGAGTGCACCCTCAGCAAGTTCTCTGATGACATCAAGCTGAGTGTTGTAGTTGATATGGCAGAAGGAAGGGATGTCATCTAGATGGATCTTGACAGGCTTGATTGTTTTGTCTTCTCTCTATCCACCTCCAAAAGTAAGAAAAAAAAAAAAGCATACAAAAAGATTTGTAAATCAGGGAAGCATGAGGAATAGAAAAAGTGGCTTTGCAGGACAGCTGCTTCTGACTAAGTATGTTGTCATAGTTTTGAAGAAGAAAATTAGACTTCATATCGTTCTTAACTCTGTAATTCTGCAGTGATTTTTTTGTTGTTGTTCCCACATCCATTGGATACTATGCTGGCTGAATGGGCCAGTGTTCTGAAAGACCTAGGCTATTAAGAATTTCAATTGGTTAAGCTTCAAAATGAAATAAATACATACTTTAAAAACATGACTTTCAAGCTAAGAAACTGAAATATTTACATCACAGAGTATGGAAATCAAGGACTTATGCATATAGATTTATTTGTATTTTTTTAACCTCTTTTTAAATTACGATTTTTAGTAGAACTGCAGCTTAGCCTTTAATTTCATTTTGGGTATTTAAGTATTAAAAATTAAAGTATTAAAGACAAACTGGCTTGCATTAATAGTGTACAGTGAGACACAACTGAGAAGAGCTGTAGAGATGCTAGAGTCTTACAAGACATTGATATATACTTGATGTTTGTCTTTAGCCTGTTAGTCTACAAATTGAGTGTTTAGAACTGTATGCTACATACTAAAAGCTTTCCTGATAGACTTTGAGTGCCTGAAGAACCAAGCAAGGATGACTTATTTTAAGACAGCTGCCTAGTGTGGGTTATTTAATTCCAAGTTCTGTTCACCAAAAATACAAGGCATTAAAAGTGTCAGCTGAACATTAAGCCATAGCATTTCAGAAATGATTTGATGTACAGAGTTCTACCATACTTGAAAACAGTAACCAAAAACCTCTAGAAATTTAGAATGGTTTTGTTTAGGATAAAGTTCCTTGCAGGCATGGATTTGTAGAAAGCAAAGTCCAGCACTGGTTTTGTTTATATTCTGAGAAGTTCAAGAAAAAGACATTGCATTGTTTTGATTGAAACCTTTTAATCTGTAAAAATCTATGCACCTTCTTATACTGTGTTTTTATTTTCTTTTATTGGTAAGCCAGATGAATAATTTATGCAGCTTTTAAAGCAAAATAACCTATTGAAATGAATTGAAAGATTTGTTTTGTCACTTTAATGTGAGATTTTTTTAAAATTTAATATTTTTTCTTCAGTTTTAGTTTTAATATTAAAGAATGAGACTGGACTATAGAAATTCTTTTGAAGGCTCTCTGTGTTCTGTGTGTTGTCTTTCAACACAGAATATTTAGTAAGTGCTTGTCAAAGAAACAAGTAATTATGTTTTCTTTCTCTTCACAGTGTGAAGTGCCTCCAGAAAGCTGTGAAAGATCCTTACCACATTATTTGTCGACCATGTGCTAGTAAACTAGAAGTTTGTGCCAAATGTGGAAAGGAAAAAGAAATTGTAATTCCGTAAGTAGCTCATAAATTATATAGTTTCAGTACTGCGCTTCTTTTTTCCCTTTTTAATAAGGCTTATTTGGAAACTATACAAGACACTGTTACACTTCATGCCATATTCTGAATAATCCTGACAGAAATCAGTAGAAGTCATCAGCTTCATTTTCTTCTGCTGAAACCAAGGTGGAATGCTTATTGATGTTGATGAGGCTGGGCCAAATAAGTCTTACTCAAATAAGACACTTTATTATAATACCAAAGAGAAGATTGTATTTCTACCTTAGGAACAAAGTACTTTGAAATAGATTTAAATATAGAGCATCATAAAATATGCATAAGCCAATTTACTGTTTGCATTTTGTGTGTCATTTGATGATTCAGTTACCAGGAACAGAAATAAAGATGGGCTGATACTGAGCACAGTTACTGCAGTGTTTTTAGCAGGCTTTCCTCTTTTTTTAATTCTTTTAGTAAATAAGTCACTTTTATTGAGCATTCTATATTAATTTACTAGTCTATGACTGCTCATCAGCAGTTAACTAGTTAGTCAGACTGTTTATATACAATCATACGTATATACGTGTATACACTGTGCCTGGGAAAATCATAGAGCAGATTCTCCTGGAAGATATATTAAGGCACATCGGGGATGAGCTGGCAATCCCAGATGGCCAGCATGGCTTCACCAAGGATGTATCATGCCTGACCAGTCTGATCACTTTCTGTGACGATGGAGTGACAGCATCTGTGGGCCAAAGAAGGGCAAACTGGTATCATCTGCCTGGACTTGTGACAGGCCTTTGACATGGTCCAACCACATCCTTATCTCCAAATTGGAGAGAGATAGATTTCAAGGGTGGACTGTTTGGTGGGTAAGTAATTGGTTGTGTGGTCACAGCCAGAGGGTTGTGGTCAATGGCTCTGTGTCCAGGTGGAGGCCGGTCAAGAATGGTGTTGTCCAGGTGTCTGCCTTGGGACTGGTATTCTTTAACATCCTTATCATTGCACCTGAGAGTAGGAAGGCATCCTGGCCTGCATTAGAAATAGTGTGGCCAGCAGGAGCAGGGAGGTGATCATCCCTCTGTAGTCAACTCTGGTGAGGCTGCACCTCGAGTACTGTGTTCAGTTTTGGATCCTTTGCTACAAAAAAGACATTGAGGCCCTGGAAAACGCAACTGGTGAGGGATCTGGAGCACAAATCTTATCAGGAGCAGCTGAGGGAGCTAGGATTATATACTCTGGAGAAGAGGAGGCTCAGGGGAGACTTCATTGCACTCTACAACTTCCTGAAGGGAGGTTGTGATGAGGAAGGGTTTGGCCTCTTCTTCCAGGCAACAAACAGGACCTGAGGAAATGACCACAATTTGTACCAGAGGAGGTTTATGTTAGACATGAGGAAGAACTTTTTCTCTCAGAGAGTGGTCAGGCACTGGAATGGCTGCCCAGGAAGGTGGTGGAGTCGCCGTCCCTGGCAGTGTTCAAGAGGCATCTGGATGAGGAGCTATGAGATATGGTGTAGTGCTTGTGGTAGCAATGGTGACGGGAGGATGGTTGGGCTAGATGATCTTGCAGGTCCTTTCCAACCTTGTGACTCTATAGTTCTATGATTCTAGTTGATATGGCAGGAGGAAGGAATGCCAGCCAGAATGAGCTTGATAAACTTGTAAGGTGAGCCCATGTGAAGCCAATGAGGTTTAACAAAAGAAAGTATAAGATTTTGCACTTGGTTTGGGTAATCGCAGCTATGTATATGGACTTGGAGAAGAATTCTTTGAGAGTAGCCCTGCTGAGAAGGACTTAGGGGTCTTGGTAGGTGAAATACTTAGCATGAGCCAGCAGTCTGTGGTTGCAGACTGGAAGGCCAGCAGTATCCTAGGCTACATCAGAAGAGGGGTGGCCAGAAAGACAAAGAAGGTGGTCTTCTCTCATGAGGCCCCAGCTGGAGTCCTGCCTCCAGTCTTTGCACACGGGAAAAATGTAGAGCTGTTCAAGAGAGTCCAGAGGAGGGCCATGATGCTGATCAGAGGGCCAGAGAACCTCTTCTGTAAAGACAGGCTTCAGAAGCCTGTCTTATTTGGTCTGGGGAAGAGAAGGCTGCAGGAAGACTTCATTGTGGCCTTCCATTATTTAAAGGGAAGTCGTAAACAAAAGAGTCAAGTTTTTACACAGGTAGATAGAGATAGGACAAGGGGAAATAGTTTTAAAGTAAAGGAGAGAAGAATTTATGTTAGATATCAGGGGAAGCTTTTCACTGAGAGGGTGGTGAAATGCTCGAACAGGTTGCCCAGAGAGGTTGTGGATGCCTCGTCCCTGAAGGTATTCAAGGCCAAGCTGGATGGGATTCTGGGCAAACAGACCTAGCACTTATCTACTGATTGGTAATCCTGCATGTGGTAGGGGAGTTGGAACTTGATTAATCCTTAAGTTTCCTTCCAACTTAAGTTAATCTATGATTTTATCATACTTAAATATGTATTCTTTTTATTTCTTAGTCTCTTTTCCCTTATTGTCTACTCAACATGAAAGTAATTTTAGATTATTTTTTCCTTTCTCCTTCCCCCACCACCCAGGTAGACTGTTGTGTCTATCCCATTCTTATTTAAAATACTTATAAATTCCAGAAGTAATAGTTGCTAACTTAATATTGATTTTTTGCAGGATCAATAAAGGACAAGATGGAATTGAGGATAAGACCACTAAAAACGGCCAGGAAAGTGGACTGAAGGATGAACTGGATTTTGACACTAACTTGAGTAGTACAGACAGTGAAGAAGATTCTGATAGGCTTGAAGAAAGATTTAAAAGTATGAACTTTGAAAGGACAGAGATTCAAAAACTTGAGTTTGTAGAAGAGACTGTACACAATGAATTGTGATAGATTGATGCTTTTTTCTGACTTCTGCTCTGAAAACCTGGTCTGACATTTAAAATCCTCATGTATTGGCACAGTGTGTTTTGATTCTTGTTGTGGAGAGACTTGATACTTGTTTGAAAGACTCAGAGTTTGAATCTTTAAGTACAGTTATTTCTTGTATGGATGTTCCTCTGTGTGTTATTAATATGAGTCCAGTATTACACAACTGTTGTATTGCCATTTGAAAAACTACATGGACATCTGTAGTTCAAATAAAACAATAAAAAGTTCTGTCATTTAAAAAAAAAAAAAAGTTAAACCAATTTTAATAGATTTTGAGGGAAGAACTTGCATCTTTTGTCAGTGAGCTTCCAGAGGCCATTACTGAAATATCAAATAATCATTGTTCTTACTCCAGCTGTCTCTTTTCCATGGGAAGAGTGCCTAAGTGCCATCAATATCCATTTCATATTTGTGACCTTGTTTTTACCAAAATTTTGAAATGGAAGAAAGAAAAAAAAAAAAAGAGTTTAAGACTTTAGAATTTTTCATACATGTTCCACACTTTCTTTTCATTCAGATGTAGACATAATGTAGTTTCCTCTAATACAAAAACACTTAGGTGCCATGCAGGGATGCTAATATAGAATTATGTTTAATAAGTTACAATTTCAAATGCCATACTATTACATAGCAGGATATATAGTTGTAGTCTTCCTGTCTTTCAGTTCCTTGTAGGGATTATTTCAGTGTAGACTAAGCTCTAAGAAGAACTTCATTGAAATGAACTTCTGCTGGATTCAGTGTGGTTTGATTTGTTTTATGTCATCTGCCACATCTATGAATAATGCAGGAGAAGTGCTTCTTGTTTACTAAATGGTTTAATGCAAGAACAACTAACAATATAGTTTTTACTGACCACTGAAAAATTAACCAGCTTGTTTGGCGTTGTCGGAATTGCAGTTACCAGGCACAGAAAAAAAAAAAAATAAAAATCTAAAAATATCTCCTTCAAATCAATTGTGAGGGACTTTGACTTGTGGTTTTCCTTCAAAATATGGAAATATTGAAGCTTTTATTTCTTTTGGATAGGGATAGCCACCATGTCTCTACCATAGCTGACTTTCAAAGAAAATCTGCTTATCAAGATATGGAGTGCTAAGATATAGAGTGGTCAGGAGCACAGAACCTGTTCAGATTGAAATGACAGCATTAGTATTTAGTATTGTTAATAATACACAACAGCAAAATTCTTGTAATCAGTCATCTAGCATTGAGCTCATATCTTTTTTTCTTTACTGCTTATGTGCTCGTCACTACAGATAAGGCCTTAAGCATTATGCTATTTAATATCTTCTATTTAGATTTGTCTTTCACTTTTATATATTTCCATGGGACATTAAAACATCACATTTACTTTTTCTGAACTTGTAAGCTTTTATACTAACATCCAAAACATCATTTTTATATTATCTCTAAGGACTAGTAATCTGCATGGTTTAATTCTTGTTTCTTTTCTGTGCTGCCCCTCTGCTTTTGAAGAAAGAAATTTTTCTGTGTCCATTTTCTGCATATATTGATTTTTGCAAAGTGTTTTGTGATAATTGTGAGCACCAAGCAATTGCAAATCATGGTCTTCTCTGTTCTTCTTAATACACCAAGACTAATAGCTCTTCACTGAGACAAAGTGTAATGTTTGCTAACTATTTGAATATCATTTTTATGCTTATTTGCAATCATAAAGCACTAGAATTTATGACCAGAACAACCAGCCTCCTACTTTTTCCATCTATCTATAAATATGTTGTTTACAAGCTAAACAACTAGCTTTGTGATCAACTCAGATTATTTCACTCAATTTCAAAAAATAAAAAATTCATCATTATAAAATGTATGGAATGGTGATGGCTTGGCTTGGCTTGGCTTGGAAGAGTCCGTTAGTTAATCTGCAGGGCACTAAGGGATGCTTAGTGGTAGAAGAGAAGTTGTGTGGTGTTTAGAAGAGACTAGAAGATGGTCAGAAGGTCAAAGCGCATTGACAGGTATGTCCTCCCACCAGGTCAGCGGTGACGTCTGTCTCTGTGTGACGTTGCCTGTTGTTCTGCCAGTTGACGCTGGTAAAGACAGAGTAAACATGGAACATCCCCAGCAGACACTGCAAATGCGTGGTGATTCTGGCGTGTAGTTAATAAGTAATCTGGCATCAGCTGCAGAGAGGGGCTCTACGAAGGGGAAATGTGAGTTTTCATGAGAATGATATGCCTACAGGAAACATTCTTTCACTTGGAAAAATTTGATAATGACCTAGCCTTCTGTCCAAAGGTGAAAGGAAATCCTGAAATGATAGGAAAACTTGAGCAATTGGCAGTAAGAAAAGGGGAAGGGCTGCCTTGTCAAAGTCATTGTTATAATCTATCAGTATGGAGGAAGAGATGTTGAACAACAAGAGCAACCAAAACAAAAGGTGTTATAAAATAGTTTGAAGTTAACATATTTACCTGTCGTAACTAATTGTCTATTCAGAGTTTACTTGGGTAGTTGATGCTACTAGTATGACAAGATGTTACAAGACTGATTCTACAAAGCTATGATGAAATTGCTGGGATTGAGCAAAACTACAGAGGTGGCTGGCAGGATTTAGCCTAACAAAGACACTCTCTGAAGACAGCTCTTGATGTTGGGTCGTTGGTCTTAATTGCAGCTAAAAGATGTGCTAATGAAAATGACTGCTGCAACTAAAAGCATACTCACATGGTGGTGTGAGTCAGCTTGTAAAATTCTGTGTTCATGTATGTTCACTGTTACAGGGAAAATAAGTTTTACTGAAGATACCTCGAACATGGGAATAAAAAGAGCAGTCTTTGTTTTCTTACTAATTTTTGACAGAAGTCAGAATAAATTTGGAATTATAGGGAGATATAATTTTTATAAGATTTAAGCAATAGTTCAGAATTGCAGGGTTTTGGGGTTTTTTTGTTGGTGTGTGCGTGTGTGCGTGAAGTGCTTGTTGAAATGAGAGTTCTCTAGAGATAGAACCTCTTTAAATACTGATCTTTGATAGAAAAAAAAAATTGGTGAGAAAATCACATGTAAGATCAGCTTTTAGAAGGAAATTCTTTTCTGAGAGAGTGGTGAGGCACTGACACAGGCTGCCTGCAAAGGTTGTGACTGCCCCATCCTTGGTGGTGTTCAGGTGTCCAGGTTGGATGAGGCCATGTGCAAACTGACCTGGTGGGTGTAAACCCTATCCGTGGCAGAGTGGTTGGATCTTTAAGGTCCCTTCTGACAAAAGCCATTCTATGATCAATCTGGAAAGGTTTTATGTTTTCTGACCAGGGTAGTTACACAATAGGAATCATCTTTGGATTTTTAAAGTATTTTTTTTTAACTGAGATTTTGAAGGGCTCCTACTTCTTTTACAAGGAATACTGTGAGTTTGTAAACTTAGCAAGAGGGGAAATGCTATCACCATGAGGCAGTATGCTGAGGTGATATTTAAGAGATCTGTGTAGGATGACTGACAGGGATTTCAGGAATTTTACTGATCATTGTGGGTAGATGCCTAGTACATTACTGAAGAAGGGAATGATAGATGTTAATAATTAGTCATCTGAAGAATAAAGAAGATGGGGTGATGCTGCTGGTACAGGTGGATTCCTGTTAGCTAATTGTCCTTACAAGCGTTATCAATTCTCATTTGGTGTGACTCATCGCTGATAGTAATTAATTAGATAATGGACTGTTGATATGTGTGTAAGGCATGCAGGATGATTCTCACTTCATTAGGGGAAATGCTTATCATAGAACCGGTCATTATTTACTTCATCAGGTTTCCGGAAAACAAAATTCCCATATGTATGGATGTGTTCAGAGAATCTGGATTCATTGCAACATGAGGAAAGTCCTTTTTATGGATGCTGCTGCTTCCTAGCACCATTTTCTATCAATCTGTTTTGTCAAAATTTGTTGGTATCTCTGAAACATATTCAAGTGTTTTAAAGTATCTTGTGGTACAAAAAGCATTGTCAGTGATTTACTCCCAGTTTTGCATGGGGTTGGGCAGTTTTTCCTCTTGTCTACTGATTGATCTATATTCCTCTAAAGTATATAATACCAGCCTCTGAAAGCTTTATAGGACTACTGGTTAATTAAGAAGAGGGTAAGTAGTTTTCTCCCTATAATGGGCATGTACTTGGATGCTGAGATGCAAATCATAGCATTAGCAAGGAAAATAAGGAAAAAAATAGCAGGTAGTGAAAAATGAGCCACCTCTAGCCCTACAATTACACGTGTTTTCTTTGTTCAAGAATTCTCACAAATAAATGGACTCCGACAGAAAATGTAAAACTGCCTCTCCTTATAGAAAGCATCTCTCTGACTTAAGCTGCCAATGAGGAAAGGATTCCAAGTAGCATAAGGAGACCTTCTTAATAACAAGATGTTTAGGGTGCTGGTCATACACACTGTCAGCATGTTTCATTTCTTCTGCCTTCCTTTTATCTGAAAGCTTTTAAGAGGACAAAGGTATATATGAAAAATACATGTTCTATATACATGCTCTCATCACATACAGTGAGTATGTAAAGTGGGGTTCTTGTCCTCAAAACAGTTGAAAACATACTAGTATTTGAAATGAGGTAGGTCTGTGTAGAGATCGATAGCGTGTTCTCAGACAAATCACCTGTAGTGGGCTAGAAATGAAATACTTGCCAAGTTTCACATAGTGGATATTTTTGTTGGATTCTTTAAAACAGTTAAGATAAAATAACAGGGAAGTTTGCTTTTTTGTTTGTTTGTTTTCCCTACAGAAATAAGTTAGCAAACCAGTGTTTCTAACTTCACAAATTGAAGTCACAATACAATACAGGCCGCAGACAACACATTAGAATTTTACTTGAATTTCAGTTGTGCATCATCCGTATTTCAATTCACCACTGATGGAATTTTTAGAAAACCAGGTTAAAGAGTTCGGTGTAATTGCATAACTAAGAGGGCTTTGAAAGCAGTACCAAATTGTTGGTTATTTATTTGTTCATTTATGTACTGATGCGACTGCAGCACAGAAGACCATGTTTTAGTACAAAAATATGAAATGGTTATGTGTGTTCCTGAATAGTAGCACTCACTTTAAATATCTCTTTATAGGACAGCTTGTATTTCTGAGAGTCAAGTTTGTCATACTTAAGTTCCCAGCACTTCTCTTACTGTTCCCTATGTGCTTCCTGAGCAAGCCTGACATAGTGTGTGAAAATAGTCTATGAAGATTAAGCACAGTTTAAGTGCTTATAAGTGTAGCAATAGTGAAACTTGTAACACTTGTTAAATCAAGGACTGCAGAGTGATTATGTGACAGTTTGAACTGCTCTCTCTAGCCGACTTCCTCATTAGTTATTCCTTTTTTCTCAGTCTGGCTCTGCGCTGTGCAAATTACTAGCTTAAACGAGAATTGATACAGCCTATGAGCTGTAACTACCTTTCTCCAGGTTATTCTGTGTAGCAACAACACGTTGTTGTATGTAAAATGAAATGAAGCTGAAATTCTTGGAGAAGAGATAAAAGGACCCTACGGCATTTCTTGTTATAGCGGAGAAGTGCAGAATAACCCTAAACCTTTCATTTCCAAGGAAAAATAAAACCCATAGGAAGGTAAAGCCTATTATTTCACCAGTGGCAGATTTTCTGTTGCTTATGTGACAAAGATTTTAAAGAGTTTCACTGGCAATAAGTAATGTCTCATACTCATCTCATCAGTAGTGGCTAAGTCTTTCTTAAAAGAAGCTGAACCTCATAGAATGGAACAAGCTTGTACCTGCATCATTTGGAGAAAAGGCATAATATATTCTTATATATTCTTTATATGCTATGGAATTGCAATCCTGTGCTCCGAAAAGAACCATCTAATGAGGAATTTGGCATAAATGTCTAGGTTTGTCAAGATCTGATGCCATTATGACATAATATTCTTCTTTGGGAAAGTGCAACATGAAGGATTAAGACATCTCT